TGCCCAGGGAGGCAACAGTGCCAACATAAGGAGGAGCACTGAACTGGGAAATGTAGATCCCTGGATTTTATTTTTAGCCATATAATACAGTAAGGTTATAAAATGAGTCATGCTCACTATACACAAAAGCCTTCTGTTGGCCTTTTCCCTCTCATCCAAGTACTACGTCCTGTTACCAAATAAGTTCCCTGGTGCTTCCTCCTAAAACTTTTGCTTTGTCCTAGGATATGACACATTGAAAGAGGATGTTGAAGGCTTTGGAGCGAAGAATTTTCAGAGTTGAGATGCTCTTGTCCAGTTTCTAGGGACCATCTCTTTTTGCCTTGGGTGTTTCAGGACTTGTATCGGTTGCAAAAGGCTATAGAATTCAATTATCCAGAGCTCTTTGGAGGGTGCTAATCTAAGGAGGCCCTCCTCCATCCCCTGAACCGGAGTCAGCCTCCTATAGTGCCCTGTACTGCCTTAATATGAACACATTAAGTTTTATTGCAATTATGTGTGTAATTCCTCCCCTTAATGAAGGGAAGTAAGGGCAGTTAAGCTCAGAAAAGGCAGGGAGTCCTTGTTTATCTTTTTACCTGCTGCATTTTCACTGCTTTGCATGATGTCTGGCACCTGGTAACCACACCATGAACTTATTAAATAAATGAATGAAATGAATGAAAGGAAAGAATGACATTGGAGGTAGAGAGAAGCCAAGATAAAAAGCTGAGACATTGTGGACCATGTACAGCATTTATGGAGAGGTAATCGTGTAGCTCTAAGTATTGAGTATGTGAGAGCCACAGTGGAGAAGGATATGGTGAGGCTGTGCCGCGGAAGGTCTCAAGCGCAAGTCAGAGACTAGGCTTTATAAGCCGTGGGAAGCCAGTGAAGCTAAGGCAGTGAGACACATTACCATTGCCCGTGGTAGAATCTGTTCATGGCATGGGCAGCTCCTTTTGCCCCTCCAAACACACTTCTTGCCAAGAAATGGATAATAGTCCATAAAGCGTTTAAATGTTACACACCCAGTAAACTCAATGAGTACCCAACCTACACGTTTCTTTTGCGAAGGTTGTGGGAGGCCCAAAGGGACTCAGTGTAGTTGGGAAACTGACTTCAGTCAGGGACCTTTCATATTATAAATGGAGCACCTGGTCCATGGTAACAATTTTAAGTTTCTCTGACCTTGCCTGAATCATTCAGGAAGTCACAAACGAGAGGTCTTTCACTCTATGGCTGCCATCGAGGCCCAGTGGGTCTGCCCCACCCCACCCCTCCTCAGCTGGTTTCCCTTGTTACCTCCCGAGGAGGCATCATTTCCCCGACTGCCTGCCTGCTGCTCCACGGCGTTCCTTTCCGTACGGTGCTTACTTCTTCCAGGTGGGACGCCCTGGACCACACACGAGGGAGTCAGTAGTGAAGCCTCTTGGCAGACCAAACCAAAGCATCACATTCGTTGCCTGGAACTACTTTTATACTTCCTTGGGGACTTGCTAGGAATCAGTAACAGAGTCAGAAAAAGCAAAGGATAAAGGTCTTCAGGGATTGAGGAGAGTTGGTAAAACTTGCCCCAAATCCTGGAAGAGTATGACATATGTTTTTCTCTCTTCATTCACTTTTTATTTGCATTTGTTTTCCTCTCACTTTCTTCCCTTCTGCTTGTCCATCTGTTTCTCGCATCTTCTTTGGAATATACCTCTCTTTCTTGCTACTGGCTCTTTCTCTCTCCTTCTCTAATTCTTGTCCTTCCCGACCACTGTCCTTCTAGCAATGACTGCCTTTCGTTCAGTTCTTATATGCTGAGCACTGTGCTAAGTGCTTTTTATTGGTAATACTCTATGAGCTAAATAATAGTATCCCCATTTTGCAGATGAGGCCATTGAGACACGGATCCAGCGACTTTTTCAAGCTCAGCAGATAACAGGGATTTTCGTTCCACTTACCTAACCCCCAAGTCATCTTCTCTTAACCGTTACATAGTCTCCTTTTCTCCATTTCCAACTCCCCGTCATCTTTTTTTTTTTTTAATCCTCACCCGAGGACATTTTTGCATTTGTCTTGAGATAGAGCGGGAGGGAGAAAGGGAGAAAGAGAGAGAGAGAAACGTCGAAGTGAGAGAGACACATCGAGTGGCTGCCACCCACACGACCCCAACCAGGGCCGGGGATAAACTGCAACCGAGGTATGTGCCCTTAGTGGAAACCAAACCCGGGCCTCTCTGGTCCACGGGCTGGCGCTCAACTGCTGAGCCAAACTGGCCAGAGCCCCCCCATCTCTTACCTCTTTCTCCTCCTCATCCTCTCTACTTCTTTCCCTCCACTTCTCTCAGACACTCGCCACATCCTGGTCTCCACACTCGTGTGGCTGACCCCGTAGGTGCTGAGCACTGTGCACGTGCCCAGAAGAGATGACAGACCATTTAAACTCCTATCTAATCAGGCATTTTCCTTTGGAGCAAATGCTTCACATTTTCCCACATTGTCTGATCAAAACCAGAGGAAAGGCCTCAAGACCTGGCTGGGTCTTTGATACAGAGGAGAACAGAGATAAGGCCCTTTCTGCTCACTCATGGATTCTCTCATTCCCAGAGATTCTGTATATTCTCAGGGTTGGGGAGCATAGAGGGAGGTAAGGGGGTGTTGGTAGAACACAGGCCAGTAGGCTGGTCTCCGTCAAGATATCAACTCAGGAGCCAAAGACGCCTGTTCCATGAAATGTGACACACCATCCACTCCTTCCTCCTCTATAAAGAATGTTCAGATAGGAATCAGGGGTGTACTGGCAGCAAAAATGTGAAGGTCAAGGTTTGAACTTGACTGTTTTTCAGAATCTGAGGTTTTATGATTCTAAGAAGGGAATATTTATGTTCAGTTCCTTCCTCCCCTGACCTCTCCTCCCCTCCTCTCTCCTGCCCTCTCCTCCCCTGCCCTCCCCTCTCTTTTTCTTCGTCATTCTGTTGATGAGAATTAGTTAGAAGCTTGCCCTAGCCAGTGTGTTCTCGGTTGGTTGAGTGTCATCCTACGCACAGAGAGATCACTGGTCTGATTCCCAGTCAGGGTACATAACAGGTTGTGGGTTTGATCCCTGGTCAGGGTCTGTGAGGGAGGCAACAGGTCAATGTTTCTCTCTCACACCTCTCTCTTTCTGTTTTCCTCTCCCTTCCTCTCTCTCGAAAAAAATCTATTAAAAATATATTAAAAATTTGGTTAGAAGCTTAAGCTGTGAGGACATTTATTGTTCATCAAGTAAGAATTCTGGAGGTAGGAGATTCAAGCGTTTCAGAGGTCTTAGGACACTAGCTGCCATTTCCAAGGTTTTCTGGGCAACTTGGACACTTGGCTCACACAACTCTGTCCACAGGCAGGAAAGCCTGCAGGAGGGGAGGACTTCAGTGGAGTCTCCCTTCATTTACTGAGTGATAGAAAAACATTTCCTAGAGCATGTCCTCCCCATTGGACTATCCCCTGTCTCACTAACGTGAACTAACTGCAGTGGAGACTGAAAAAGTAATATCTGGACTTTCACCCTACTAATGGGACCCAGGCAAGGAACAGGGACTTGGTTTGCCACTGGGTTGGAAACACCAGTGCCTGACACCCCCTGCCCCCTTACTTCATTCAACTAAGATTTACTAAGCACCCACTCCAGGCCAGGCTCTGGGCGGAGTGATGATGATCCAGAGGAAAAGACAGTCCCTGGTCTCCATGAGCCCCAACTGAAACAACAAACAGGCAAAGGATTCTAAAACAAGATGGCAAGTGCTGGGAGAGAGGTGGGTGTTCTCAGGGCACCCCAGGAGCTAAGGGGCCCCACTTGAGAGGGCAGAGAGAGCTGGAAGAAGCCATGACTGGGTTCATTTTGAAGGGTAAATGGGATTCAGGTAGGGACAAGGGGGCCTGTCTGCGGTGGTTTGGAGGGGGACATCTGGGAATCTTCCAGATTTAGAGTGGCTGGATAAAGAGAACTAAAGGGCACAGGCAAGAAATGAGGCTGAAGAAGCAAGCAAGAGCCTCATGAGGGAATGTTTTGCATGAGACATAAAGGATCGGGGCACTTAGTCTGGATGTGGGGGTGAGAAGGTCTGTGCGGGGAACCTTCCGTTTGTGTGCAGAAGGACAAGCCAAGCTGTGCAGCTGCAAGGGCACCGAGGTGCCGAGATCCACACTGCCAGCTGCTTACCAGCCGGGGGAACCTGAGCACTCGTCTGTGATACCTTTAGCTGGTGTGAGCCAGGACTTTTTAGTTGCTGCCTCTCGATACAGCTGGTCCATGCTGGATGGTTCTGATTACTAGGGAATGCTTCCTGGGGGCCAATGCATCACTCACTCTTTCCTCCTCCACCTAGTTCGGCCCTCTGAAGACATAACATTTGTGTTTTCCACCCAACAGCCATTCAAACACATGGGACATTTGTGGTATGAATTTCAACATTTCACGTACTCTTTCATTTAATCCTCAAAAGCCCTTGGTGTAGCTATTCCCATGCCCATTTTACAGACTCAGAAACAGACTCGGTGAGTTTGTGTGAGTCACATCTGCAGATTTGCAGACTCCAGTGTTGTGTTCTTTCCACTACTAACGTTTTTCTCCAGGTGTGGTTCTTGGCCAGTCTGCCTCAGAATCACCTGGTCTGCTTGTTGCAAATCCGGGGAGGGGGAGCCCTCCAGACCCGCTGAGGTAGAATCTTTGGGGGTAAGAGCACAGAATCCACATTGTAACACACATTTCAGTTCATTTTTAGATCATTAAAGGGTGGGAACCACGCTCTAATCTTGCTCATATAACCACTTTAATCTTCTCCTTCTTTGTATTTTTTACTGGAGGTGGTAGGGAGGGGGGCGAGAATGAGGGAGCTTTTCAGGTGAGTTTGTCGTCTTCGTTGCACTTGCTTAAAGAGCACATGGGAATCAATCAGTGGGATCCCAGAGCGGGACTGGATCTCCCAGACTTTTGCAGAAGCATCCCTCTGTTCTTCTCTCCCCTATTTGCAGAAGTCTGTCCTCTGCTGAGCCAAGATGGGCGACTGGAGCTTCCTGGGTGACTTCCTGGAGGAAGTACACAAGCATTCCACCGTGATCGGCAAGGTCTGGCTCACGGTCCTCTTCATCTTCCGCATGCTGGTGCTGGGCACGGCGGCCGAGTCTTCCTGGGGGGACGAGCAGGCAGATTTCCAGTGTGATACGATCCAGCCGGGCTGCGAGAACGTCTGCTACGACCAGGCCTTCCCCATCTCCCACATTCGCTACTGGGTGCTGCAGATCATCTTCGTGTCCACGCCCTCCCTGGTGTACATGGGCCACGCCATGCACACCGTGCGCATGGAGGAGAAGCGCAAGTTTCGGGAGGCTGAGGGGGCCAAAGAGGTCCAGGGCGCTGACTCTTACGAGTATCCCGTGGCCGAGAAGAAAGCGCTGTCCTACTGGGAGGAAGTGAATAGCAGGATTGTCCTCCAGGGCACTCTGCTCAACACGTATGTCTGCAGCATCCTGATCCGCACCACCATGGAGGTGGCCTTCATTGTGGGCCAGTACCTCCTCTACGGCATCTTCCTGGACACGCTGCACGTCTGCCGCAGGAGTCCCTGCCCGCACCCCGTCAACTGCTACGTGTCCCGGCCCACCGAGAAGAATGTCTTCATTGTCTTTATGCTGGCTGTGGCCGGACTGTCCCTCTTCCTCAGTCTGGCCGAACTCTACCACCTGGGCTGGAAGAAGATCAGACAGCGATTCGCCAAGTCACAGAAGGGCATGGCTAGGTGCCAGCTTCCCGGTCCCTCCACCGGCGTAGCCCAGAGCTGCACGCCGCCCCCTGACTTCAGCCAGTGCCTGGAGAGTGGTCCTGGGGAGAAATTCTTCAATCCCTTCAGTAACAAGGTGGCCTCCCAGCAGAACACGGACAACCTGGCCACTGAGCAGGTGCGAGGCCAGGAGCAGATTCCTGGGGAGGGCTTTATTCACATCCGTTACGCCCAGAAGCCTGAGGTACCCAGTGGAGCCTCCCCAGGTCACCACCACCCCCAGGGCTACCAGAGGGACAAGCGTCGACTCAGCAAGGCCAGCAGCAAAGCCAGCAGCAAGGCCCGGTCAGATGACCTGTCAGTGTGACCTTCCAATGTGGGGGAACCAGGACCAGGTGGGAACAAAGGAGGCTCAGAGAGGGAAGATGTGTCTCTTCAGACCCCACCTCTCGCATTCTCATCACTGCTCTGCTCCTTTCGGCCCTGGGTCTCAAAGGCATTGCTCAGTGGTTCCGCCAGGTGTAACGGGCCCTCTTCCTCAGTGCGATCAGAGACATGTCTACCTACCCAGGCTGCTGTCTCTTCCCCATCCTCTACCCAGTATACTCAGTGAAGACTCTCAGATTATTCATTGAACGGAGTAGAGTAAGGGGAGGGAACCATGAAAAATCAGGCCTGGGAGGGATAGACAGAGGGATAGGATAATTCTCTATATACCAGCCACATACCAGATGGGTTCTCCAAGTCTCTGTGGCTTCTTTGACATGATTATCCTTCCTCCTGCAAGGAAGACCCCAAAGTTTCTAGCCAACAAAGAGCATGAATCAAGGAACTTGCATTAGATGTGCTCTTGAGTCTGTTGTTTCCACGGGCCAAACCTCAGAGAGGTGGTGAGGTTGCCTTGAGCTGCCCTTGGCTGCTGCTCCCCTTACCCAGTCTTAAAAAGAGGTCCTTGGAACTTGACCAGCAGCCTCAATTTTACAAGAGTGTTGGTATGTATGTCTGGCAAATGTCCCACCGTGGTAAATGTTGCAGCCTTTCCTCTGCCAGGGTGCACAAGCCTTCCAGGGGTGCAAGCTCCCCTAGGAAGCCACTGTGCATCGACTCTACTGGAATTCCTGCCACCACCTGTCATCCTGTAGCTCTTTACAATTCAACCTCATGATAGAAACCATCTTCTCCCTTCTTCCCTTGGCTGTTCATCCACTGCTCCCCTAAAGACCTTATCAACCAGGATACCCAAGAAGCCATCATCCTCTCTCGGATCCTGACCACATCACCAGCCACAGAGGCCAGTGGAATTTGCCCGGGTCTTATTAAAACAAAGAGGACATTGTGTTTTTCAGATTCCCCTTGGGAAACAAAGACAATTCCGCTGTGAAGATGAACATTAAAAGAGGAGAGAAAATACTGGAAAATTATTTTCCCTCCTATTTATTTCCCTCGTTGACTGCCGACTTCGAGTGCCAAGAGAAGATACGACGACAGCTGTGAAGGCCCCCAGATCTCTCTCTGCTGGAAGGTTTAGTGGGGACATGGATGTATAGGGGAATCTCCAGCTCTCTTGGCAGGGTTCTTGTTTAAGAGCACAAAGAGTCCTGTGTCTCCCTGGTGCTCCTAATGGGACTGCCAGGTGGAGACTTCAGAAAAGCCCTGCTTTGCCCAGGGACTGGCCTGGTTTCTCCATTCAATCCATCCATAATGGATTGCCATTTTGGATGAGGGTAAAGGATGCTCAGAATTAGATACTGAGATGTATAGGAAAATGATTACTTTTTAAAAATACGCGTGTGTGTGTGTGTGTGTGTGTACCCGCTGATAGGGTGGCTGAAGGAGAAAGAAGGTCTGAAATAAGAAAATGAAACCTTAGAGAAACGTATGTCTTTCTGCCCTGCCCTCCAGATGCTTTACAGAGGAGCTGAACCCCACTGTTTTCAGTATCATCAGTCTAAATGGATAGGCATAAGAGGCTGGGACAGAGGAGAGTGAGGACTCAGCAGGAGGCTGAGCCTCTAGCCCACCTGCCCATCTCCTGGCCCTTCTGCTGATATTTGGATGTTATTGATGGGTGGGAAGAAGGGGGATGGTAGAGAGGTAGAGGGAACTGACTGGGACACCCTTTTATCTATTGTCTGGCACAGGCATTAAGTCTCTCCAAAACAAAACAAACAAAAAAGATTCTCTCTCCTTCCATCTCTGAAATCTGTTTGTTTTGTGAAATGAGTGTTCATGAATTAAAAATGCTATGAGATCAGTTTTGGATGATGGAGCTTTCAGGAAAGAAAAAGAAAATATGTGTAGTATGTCTTAATAAAGGCTGGCCCTCCCTTTATTTCTCCTTGTGTCTCTTCCATACTGTGACTACAAGAGAAAGATGGCAAGCTTGTTGGGGGAGGGAATCACTTGAACCCTGCTCCTCAGTCAGTCAGCAAGGCGAGCTTTGGAGTCAGACAGTTACGGGCTAAAATCCCAGCTGCTGATTTACAGCTGGGTTCCAGCAAGCTACTTAGTCTCTGAGCCTTGCTTTCCCCCATCTGTAAACTGAACCTAGGAATATCTACCTCATAGTGAGAAACTGCCCAGAATTCAGCAGAGTCATTAAATGGTAATTGTTGTTATTGTTGATACTATTATCTTTAGTATTTTTGTTATTATGTTGAGTACATAGTATTTGAAATCTGGTATGTTAAGGGACGGTTCCAGAACTTCCTTTTGTGGACCTCCCAGTCTGCCTAAGGCGATCAAATTAGCACACATGGAGGAAACAATTAGAATAGAATTAAATGGGAATTCATTTATTATTAATTCTAAGAACCACAAGGCTCCAAAAAAAAATGATACATATGAAAAAACTACCTAGAAGAGTAGAGACCTTACTTGGCCTTAAAGACAAGCTAAGGCTTTCAAAATATAAAAACCTGCAGGATGACTCTCTGAAATAGGTCTCCCCATTCTACAAACATGGAAACTGAGGTTTATGACTTCTTAACAAGGGGCAGCCTTTCACTGGCCTTTCTGATTGGGATCACATTTTTTTTTATTGTTTTTATAGAGGAGAAATGATTCTTGCTCCAAACAAAGGGTCAAGGGACCACCTGCCCTTCACCAACAAATAGGTGCCATTTCCTAGAGGAAGAAACAAAGGATGGGAAAACAAATAGAAGTGTTATCTGAACTATAAGTCAGCCTCGTTCATCAGGGCAGGAAGGCTCTTCTGAAGAGGACTTGCGGAGAGGTCACAGAACACACCGTGTGACACCAGTGCTGAGACTCGCAGATGCATGTGGCATCTGTCCGACAGTAAGGTGCTCAGCCCAGAGGTGTCTGAGTAGTCCAACTGGAAAAAAGCATCTGGGATCCATTTTTTCTCCTAGAAAAAAAAAGGATGTGCATCTCAGGGTTTTATAAACATACCTATTAACATTTAACAGTTTATATTACACCCAGACTGCAAAATCCAAGGGACTTGTTTTATAGTAAAATTTCAACCTCAAGTATCTACTCTCATTTTCTCTTCGTTTCCTACTCTAACGGCTCACCAATAAACACAGTAAGTTGGATAACAATATAGTGAACAAACTCTAAGTTATGGGCTCCTACAGGCTCCTTAATTTCCTTCCTCCAGTGCCAGATAAGACCATAATATCTATACTGGTGTTTTATTCCTATGGCTAAAGTGTTTAAACTGTTAATAACACTTCTGCCCTGGCTGGTTTGGCTCAGCGGTTAGAGTGTCGACCTGCGGACCAAAGAGTCGCGGGTTCGATTCTAGTCAAGGGCACGTACCTCGGCTGAGGTTTGTCCCCGGCTCTGTTTGGGGTCATGCGGGAGGCAACTCATCGATGTGTCTTGCTCACATTGATGTATCTCTCTCACTTTCTCTCTCTCCTTCCCACTCTATCTGAAGATAAATGGAAAAATATCCTCATATGAGGATTTAAAAAATAAATAAAATGTTAATAACACTTCTATAAAGAATCTTCCTAAGAGTGAGTCTCAGATTTCTTCTTAATAGCAAATCTTGATAGCAGAGAAAAACGCCAGAAGAACAAAGCAGTAGGCACCTGGTGTCTTGAAGGACTGCTCTCATGGATGTGGAGACGAAAGAAAACAGCCGGGCTAGAAGGGGCTTCTAAAGATAAGCTGCTCACTTGCCAGCCCCCAGTAGATCCTGGGAGCCCCATAGTCATTCCACGTATTGGCCCTTGACAATATGTGGAATTTACAAATAATATGTAAATAGAACAGCATCAGTGGTTTTTCCTCTTGTTGGTCACCTGACGGTCAACAGAAATGAACACAGTCTATACTTGTTTATAGTCATTTCATTTGGAACAAAGGAAAACATTTATTCAACAAACATTTATTGCGCACTCCTTTGGGCTGGGCACTATGTCAGGCTTTAGGAATACAATGTTATAAACCAGACATGGTTCCTGGCTCCCGGAGCTTACAGTGTCGTGGGGGAGACACGCTACCCCAAGTAAACAAACACAATAGTTACACATTGTGATAGTGTCAAGAAGGAAACAAGGGGGTGACAAAGGTGGGGGAGGAACCTTTTCAGATAGGGTGGGCAGAAAGTCCTTTCTGAGGAGGTAATTGATGCTGAGATCTTACTGATGTGGAGGAGAAGATCCCAGGTGGGGGGACCCAAATTCCTGCCAGGAAACCCCAGATACAGCTGTCCCTGACCTCAGTCTGGTCCAACATTTTTGGTTTGTTTTTATCCTCACCCAAGGATGTTTTTGCATCTATTTTCAGATAGAGCGGGAGGGAGGGAGGGAGGGAGGGAGGGAGGGAGGGAGGGAGGGAGGAAGGGAGGGAGGGAGGGAGGGAGGGAGGGAGGGAGAAACATCAATGTGAGAGAGACACATCAACTCGCTGCCACACACAAAACCCCAACCGGGGCTGGGGACAAACCACAACCGAGGTACGTGCCCTTAGCGGGAACCGAACCGGGGACTTTCTGGTCCACGGGCCAACACTCTAACCGCTGAGCCAAACTGGCCAGGGCTGGTCCAACATTTTTGAAAGACACAAAATTCAAGCTGTCCCTAGACAAAACTTAGAACAACACTGCTTGGCACCAACTATTACAAAACACACATACTTCTTTTAGCCAAAGCCTCGAGGGATAGAGAAATCGTTTTACTCAAAGAATCAAAAGGAGCATATAAAAGGTATTCATTAGAAATAGTACATATTATATATTAGGGCTCTAAAAAGTCCTGTTTGATGTTGTAACTACTATTTTCAGTATAGATTCTTGTAACAGGCCTGGAGCCTTCTAAACGAGGGCTGTTCCCTGGAGTTCAGGCTGACGGGCAGAAGACTGTCCAAATGAACCGGGAAAGAGCCAGCAAA